GCACAAAGGGAATGGTCCTCATTCCTCTCTCTACAATACCTTGTGGTGTGACTCTCAATAAAAGTCGAATCTGACTGTCGGAACTAAGAAAAACCCACATAAGAACGGCCATACTGGGTCAGACCAAAGGTCTATCTAGACCTGTGTCCTTTCGGCTGACAGTGGCCAATGCCAGAGGCAAGGAACACAACAAGTAATCCGCACAAAGGGAATGGTCCTCATTCCTCTCTCTACAATACCTTGTGGTGTGACTCTCAATAAAAGTCGAATCTGACTGTCGGAACTAAGAAAAACCCACATAAGAACGGCCATACTGGGTCAGACCAAAGGTCTATCTAGACCTGTGTCCTTTCGGCTGACAGTGGCCAATGCCAGAGGCAAGGAACACAACAAGTAATCCTAACATGATGCCTCTCCTGTCACCGATTCCCTGCTTCTGACCAACAGAGGCTAGAAAAACTATCTCTGCCCATCCTGTCTAGTGGCCATTAATGGACCTAACCTTCATGAATTTATCTAGTTCTTTTTTATTATATTTGTAGCCCTCGCAACATGGTTGACCATGGCATGAGTGACAAAACACTTCCTTTTGTTTCTTTGAAACTATAGTAAAGAATAAAATTATCAGACACATAGGCTACGTCTAGACTGGCATGATTTTCCGCAAATGCTTTTAATGGAAAAGTTTTCCATTAAAAGCATTTGCGGAAAAGAGCATCTAGATTGGCACGGACGCTTTTCCGCTAAAGCACTTTTTGCGGAAAAGTGTCCGTGCGAATCTAGACGCGCTTTTCCGCAAAAAAGCCCAGATAGCCATTTTTGCAATCGGGGCTTTTTTGCACAAAACAAATCTAAGCTGTCTGCACTGGCCCTTTTGCCCGAACGGGAGCAGCACAGTATTTCCGCAAGAAGCACTGATTTCAGACAGTAGGAAGTCAGCGTTCTTGCGGAAACTCAAGTGGCCAGTGTAGACAGCTGGCAAGTTTTTACGCAAAAGCACCTGCTTTTGCGGAAAAACTTGCCAGTCTAGACACAGCTAAAGACTAACATAATTTGTTGGGGGAAAAGGCAACATGGTTTCTCTAAAGAGAAATCATGTCTTACTAATCTGCTAGAGTTCTTTGAGGGGGTCAACAAACATATAGACAAGGACGATCCAGTAGACATAGTGTACTTAGATTTCCAGAAAGCCTTTGACAAGGTCCCTCACCAAAGTCTCTTAAGTAAAATAAATTGTCATGGGTTTAGAGGGAAGGTCCTTTCGTGGACTGAGAACTGGTTAAAAGACAGGAAAAAAGGGTAGGAATAAATGGTCAGTTTTCTGAGTGGAGAGAGGTAATTACTGGAGTCCCCAAGGGTCAATCCGGGGACTGATCCTATTCAACTTATTTATAAATGATCTAGAGAAAGGGGTAAAGGGTGAAGTGGCAAAATTTGCAGATGAAACCAAATTGTTAAGACCCAAGCAGACTGTGAAGAGCTTCAAAAAGATCTCCCCAAACTAAGTGATTGGGTATCAATGATATTTAATGTTCATAAATGTAAAGTCATGCACATTGGAAAAAATAATCTCAACTCTACATACAATATGATGGGGACTAATTTGGATACAACTACTCAAGAGACAGATTTTGGAGTCATTGTGGATAGTTCTCTGAAAACACCCACTCCATGTGCAGCGGCAGTCAAAAAAGCAAACTGAATGTTAGGAGTCATTAAAAACGGGATAGAGAATAAGACAGAGAATATCTTATTACCCCTATATAAAACTATGCCACCTCTTGAACACTACATACAGATGTGGTTGCCTCATCTCCAAAAAGATCTATTGGCATTGCGAAAGGTTCAGAAAAGGGCAACAAAATGATGAGGGGTTTGAAACTAAGACAGAGTCAGAAGAGTTGGACTTTTCAGCTTAGAAAAACAGGAGACTAAGGGGGGATATGAGAGAGGTCTATGAAATCATGACTGGTGTGGGAAAAGTGAATAAGGAAAAGTTATTTACTTCTTCACACGGTATAAGTACTAGGGATCACAAATTAAAATTAATAGGCAGCAAATTTAAAAGAAACAACGGACGTTTTTCTTCACTCAGCACACAGCCAACCTGTGGAACTCCTTGCCAGAGGATGTGGTGAAGGCTAGAACTTTAACAGGATTAAAAAAGGCACTAGATAGATGTATTGAGGTTAGGTACATCAGTGGCTATTAGCCAGGATGGGTAGGAATGGTGTCCCTAGCTTCTGTCTGGATGTCAGTGACAGGAGAGAGATTGCATGAGGATTACCTGTTGTGTTCCCTCCCTCTGGGGCATCTGGTAGTGGCCACTGAGGGCAGACAGGACACTGGGCTGGCTAGACCGGTGGTTTGTCCCAGTCTGGCCGTTCTTATGTTCTTCAGTTCTTATGTTTTAAACCTGCTGCCTCTTCATTTCAATTGGTGACCACTGGTTCTCATGATATGAGAAGGAGGAAAACATCACTTCCTTATGGAACTTTTCCACGCTGGTCATGATGATATAGACCTTTGTCAACGCTTTCCCAAGCGGAAAACTCACAATCTTAGTAATGTCTCCGCATATGGCCGTCATTTCGTACCCCTAATCACTCTCATTGGCCTTTTCAGAAACCGTTTCTCATTCCAATATGACTTTTTTTTGGAGAGGGTGACCACATGGCTTGGGAATGGAAGTGACGTTCTCAACCACCTGCAAGGCCCGGTTCCTGTTTTGGTAGGCCATCGACCCTCTGGGGTGTGGATCCTGGTCCCATGGAGTGGCGCTTAGACACCCTACAGAGAGAAAACGAGCTTGCTCTACAGCCTCAGCTGTTTTTAGCTCAAGCGGTGGAGCAAGAGTGGGGAAGCTTTTGAGGGTGAGGGGCAAACGACCCACAGAAAACTCCGTCGGGGGCCGCAGACAAAAGCAAACCAAAGCAAACTCTCACTGATGTGGCTGCTGACTGAGATGGAGAAAGACCCTCCCCATATTCTCCTCACACACCGGAGCCTGTGGGGACCAGGAGATTCTGAGTGGTCCAACCTCATGGTGAGGCAGTGGGGGAGGGGCTGAGCCTCAGGGGCTGGACCCAGGCAGAATAGGGGCTACATCACTGATGTTCACTTACTCTGCTCTAGACACTTGTGGACTAAGCTCCACAGGTCCCAGGTTCTATTCTGCCTGTCGGCGTTACCCTTGCTCGCTCACCAGAAAGACTGGAAATTGGAGATTTTACCGAAACCACGTTTTTTACCTCAGAACGTGTCTGCTTTTGTTGAGACCATGGCGATATTCCCTTTGAAAAACCAAAAGTAAAATAGCCCAACTTCAACCCCTCCCCTATTTTCTTCTTACTATGGACTCTTTCCAACAGAAGGTTTTTAGTTGCCTGAGTAAATTTTGAGTTGAGGGATTACAGGAAGAGTTGAAATTTTCCACCAGGGCTCCCCACCCTGCCCCGGCGGTCTGTTAGGCTACGTCTAGACTGCAAGGCTCTTTCAAAAGAGGCTTTTTCAAAAAAGGCTTTCGAAAAAGCCTCTTTCGAAACAAAGCGTCTAGACTACGACCAGTACTTTCGAAAAAGTGAGCCACTCTTTTGAAAGAGAGCACCCGGGGGGGTGTCTACACCACAGGGTTTTTTCAAAAAAAGTAGCCTTTTTTCAAAAAAACTTCACCTGCGTCTAGACTGCAAGCAGCTTTTTCGATCACGGTAAACCTCATTTTACGAGGAAGAACGCCTTTTTTCGAAAGTACTCTTTCGAAAAAAAGGTGCTATTGAATGCAAACTCTGAATGCATCCAAGGGAAAGGGAAGAATGTTGGTAAGAGTTGCTAGAAGACTTTTGGCCAGGTTTTACTTGTATTTTACTCTAACGGTGTGTCCAGACTCAGGTTTTTTTTTGAAAAAAGTAGCCTTTTTTCGAAAAAACCTCACCTGCGTCTAGACTGCAGCCGCGTTCTTTCAAAATTAAATCGAAAGAACGCGGCTTTTCTTTCGATGGCGGTAAACCTCAATTTACAAGGAAGAACGCCTTCTTTCGAAAGTTCCTCTTTCGAAAGAAGGCGTTCTTCAATGTAAATAGGGCTTCTTCGAAAGAGAGCATCCAGACTCACTGGATGCTTTCTTTCAAAAAAGCAAGCTGCTTTTTCGAAAGTTCAACGTGCAGTCTAGACGCTCTCTTTCGAAAGAGGCTATTTCAAAAGTATCTTTCGAAAGAGCCTCTTTCGAAAGAGGCTTGCAGTCTAGACATAGCCTAAGGGTGTGTCTAGACTACAGGGGGGTTTTTGAAAAAAAAATGGCCTTTTTTCAAAGAAACTTCCCCTGCATCCAGACTGCTGCTGCGTTCTTTCAAAAGTAAATTGAAAGAATGTGGCAGTTTTTTCGATCATGGTAAATCTCATTTTACAAGGAAGAACGCCTTTTTTCGAAAGTACTCTTTTGAAAAAAGGTGCTAATGAACGCGAACTGTGCATTTTCGAAAGAGAGGGTCTAGACTCTCTTTCGAAAAAGCAGCGCGCTTTTTTGAAAAAAACTGCTTGTAGTCTAGACGCTCTCTTTCAAACGAAGCTGGGGCTACATCTACACTGGCACCCTTTTCCAGAAATGCTTAAAACGGAACAGTTTTCCCTTATAAGTATTTCCGGAAAAAGTGCATCTACATTGGCAGGATGCTTTTCCGGAAAAGCACTTTTTCCAGAAAAGCGTCCGTGGCCAATGTAGACACGCTTTTCCGGAAAAACCCCCGATCGTCATTTTTGCGATCGGGGCTTTTTTGTGGAAAACACTACTGTGCTGTCTACACTGGCACTTTTCCAGAACAGTTTTTCCGGAAAAGGACTTTTGCCTGAACGGGAGCAGCATAGTTTTTCCAGAAAAACAATGACAATTTTACAGTAGATCGTCATTTCTTTTCCGGAAAAGCAAGCGGCCAGTGTAGACAGCTGGCAAGTTATTCCGGAAAAGCAGCTGCTTTTCCAGAAT